TTCCTCAGGTAACCATTTGAGTTTTCATTGGGCTCTCGATCAAAGGCCTTGGCTACACAGCCACCATAAAAAGCATAAATATTCACCTAAATCAGTCTTGTGAAATCCTTCATATTACCTATTTTTACATGTCATTTGATTATAAAACTATAGTCCCGTGAATAAATTTTAACCTCTGAAAATAACATTCATTCTCAAAAAAAAAAACATTGACGAAAGAGAATATTGTTCATTCCCCAACCCAAATTGGTCCAGTCCGTGTCAATACTACACTTCTGTTCTTTTGACAGTGGCCTACTAATGTAAGCTCTGAATGAAGAAGAACCAATCCCACATTCCTCCGCTTTGACTGTCCTTAATATCCTCACATTCACTTCCTGTGGCACTTCCTGTGTTTCTCAAGCTGGGGAACCCCTGGGGATCATCTGGAGTATTTGTATTTGCCATCAAGCCCCTAAGGCACAAGTTCTGGCCTCAAAAAAGCACTACAGACAAACAAAATGGCCGCCATCCTGAATTGCGCTATCGAGCGGCTCATGGGACGAGTGTGGGGAAGCTCACTAGTTATATATTTCAATAATTTCAACGAACATCACAGAGGTGTATTTGTTTCTTCACTGTTTAATGACACTTTGCATGAATTTTCGGCAATCTCATGTCACCTGCTGATCTCTTCTGAACGCTTGTAAGAAATTGAAGCACATACCATTCATTCATACATACCAGTGGGCAATTTAGAGTCTCCAATTAGCCTAGCACGCATGTCTTTGGACTGTGGAAGAAAACTGGAGTACCCAGAGAAACCCCACACAAACACAGGGAGAAACTCCACACAGAAAGGCTGTATGCTTGGATTTCTCTGCATAGGTGTGAAACCAAACAGGATGCTTGCAGTCAGAATACATTAGGAGATACATTCATCCAGAGGACTGGCACTGTTCTCTGTAAAGTTGTATGATTTTTGAACATTGAGTGAAAGGATAAACCTTACTTGTTTAGGGGTCGCTTTTATCCAAACCGACTTGCTCTTGATTGGACAAAGCCAGTCCTCCCAGGAACAATCTGGGGTGCGTTCAAAGTCGGCAACACATAGCAAAACGGATATTTAAACGGCAACAGTAGTGGACTGAACACCCCATTGTGTCACGCAAACGTTGCAACTATGGCAGCCGAGAGGGCCATACTGCGCGTTCTCTTGGAAGAATTCTCGGAGCCTGATGAAATAGGTTCAAATTCGTGTCTGATTTTTGAACTTTTTAAACTTCTACTTACCACAAACATGTTGTTTGATGTCATCAACCGTGGTGAATACCAAGCTGCAAGAGATGCATTTATATACTACCCTTGTTGGATTCATTGTGCCACTGCCTTTTTAAGATGGCACGGTTTATATACATGTTGCAGCTGATTGGATAACACCCCTGGCACACCAACCAAACAGGAGAAAACATACCTCAAACGCCGTTGTGCACCGTTGCACACCGGTTGGAGGAAACAGGTCTTTCAACCCAGAAACTGTAACAAAACGATGTGCAGCGGTGTGACTTTGAACGCACCCCTGGTGTTTAGAGCTTTGCCCAAAAGCAATTATTAATATGGCACCGATAATAATGGGGCTTTAAATAGATCTGAGTGACAGTCAAACAGCTTAACCATAAGACTACAGACTGCCAACCTGATTGAGGACGTACCCTTTCACTGTCTCATAAACCAACACTTCACATTGGAGCTGTGAGACTTAAAGGTGCACTATGCAAGTTTGTTTACTTTCTGCGCGATTATATTTTTGTCTCAATTCCCTGACATCTCTCCACGATCCGCTAGCTGCTTGCCCCTAAATTCACTGTAAAAAAAAAATTAAAAAAAAAAAACTCGGGCTCTGGAGACAGCACAGGCGTCACAAACTGCAAATAAACACAAGGGGCACAGGCTGTACCCCATAACATAACAAACCGTCCCGGCCAATCACCGACAAGAGTTGAGTGTTATGGAAGCATTGGAAGGAGGGAACTATGGGAAGGAGGGAACTATGGGAAGGAGGGAACTATGGGAGGGAGGGGCGGGCTATCTCTGTTTTGTTTGAGTTCGAATGGCAACAGAAGTGAAAGTAAACAAACTTGCATAGTGCACCTTTAAGACTACATGATGAGTCTCTCTCTAAATCAACTTTCTCCACTGTAAATGAATGAATCAAGATTAGAATAGAATAACTTTTAATCCAGAAAAGAATTGGGACAAATTTCAAAATTTTGTGTCATTACAGATTGTTGCTATTACAAATAAATCTTATAGGATTTGTCAAGTTTTTCTCTGTTTTTTTCCCTTCCAATTTTTCAAATTTTCAGATGTTATAAATTTGATCTAAATGCCTCAAGATAAAGAGCATGCAATCCATATTTTCATTGTGTCTTTGAATCGGCCAGTATTACAGCAGTCACATAACACCACCAGTGGGGGATACATTCAGCTTTAGTGGTTAATATTATCAATAGTGTTAATAACTAAACTAATTTAACAGTCAAATAACTTCCAATTCCTTGTTTAAATATCAGTCTAACTCCTTGATCATGCTCACAATCTGATTATGCCGGACGCTTCTCGATGACAAGGTCGCGAATCCACAAAAAAATGTTGGTTTCCTTGTTTGAACAAAGCCTGAGAAACTTTCTTATTTGCCTTTGCATGTGTGTTGACTGTGACGTCGATGAATACTTACCGTGTGATTTAGAAATTGTAGATCATGAATGCCATATTGGCTCTGAGCGTCGACTGCTTAAAATTGCAAGTCATGCGTGGTCTTGAGCCGTAATGGCTCCTGTTTCTCCATGTTCCCAAGCGTTCCACCCATACAAACAGGAATTGGCATTGTGGGATCAAAGCGGAATATAGACTATCGGGGAGGTTCCGGATTCCCGGGACTGGCCTGGAATAGATTGCTGCAGTGAGAAAAATCACATCAAAAAGTTATTTGTTTACGTATATAACGCAGAGGTAAGGTCTAAACACACGAATCGCAATTGCACGGAAAGTTGTGTGAAGCGCTTAGAAACACGCACGCACTTGGAAACAATGTTAACTTGAGTAGGCTGCGTAAGTAGTCAGTAACTGTCGCGTTAAGTCGAAACTGTCCTAGAGAACTTTTCGTGTACATTCAATGAAATGTTGATTGTTGCACATTTCGCCAACTAGAGACAGAAATGGCAAATGAAGGGTTTTTCATCCTTTTTATTTAAAGTTGTTATTTGACGATCGAGGCGTTCTGGGATTGCTTTAGGCTATTTGTCTTCTGAATTTCTTCCCCCTTCCTAAAACTGGGTGTGGACATATTTCGGAAGTTTTAAAGTGTTTTGGCCTGGGTTGGGTGTTCCGGCCAAAATGTTCTTTGCGATCATGAAAGCATATTCTGATGATAATAAGGACTTACAGATTAAGGACTATTTAATAATTTAGAGTCAAATATACGATGGAAACTGTATATGATCAGTTGCCTATGTATGTGTTGAGTGGTAATAGTTCGCTTTGTGAAACCGTATTATTCAGATGTATTAAACATCTAAAAGTGTCGGGAATTGGGATTTTGATTTTGCGTTGAAGCAACAAATGGTTTGGTTGCTCTCTTTGTAATTTGAAAGCAGTTATGTTTACAGTTAAGCTGTTAATTACGTTTGACCATTTCATTAGATTTTAATTTGAATATGTTCTCTGTCTGTTACATTACCAGAGGCTCAAAGCTATGTGCCAGTATTGAAAATATTTTTAACTTCTTTTCCCACGCGTAAAGTGGCTTATCCAGCGCGATAAGGTTATTTAATTCGAGATGATGCTGCATATTCTTTCCTTTTCCGGCGTCAGCGGCAGTAAATTTATGAGAACTCGTTTTAAAATGTCTTATAATTGATCCATGTGCCTCGGGACCCCGCATGAAAGTAATTGGCTACTTGTTTCAGAGACGGTAAAATAGTTTTTCTTCGTATTTTAGCTAATTGCCATAATTGTTTCAAACCGTCCTCACTGTAAGTGGTGCATGACTCCTGATTGAGTGGACTGATACGGCGGATGTGGGAAGGCTGGGCCGCACAGCGCTTAGACTCGATCAGAATTCGAAGCATTCTCATGAGTACTAACTTAGTGAAGCCCATAAAGTACCGTTATGTTTTATTTAATTCATTGAGATTTGGGGGGCTGTAGCTCTGTTCTTATTAGCCACTAGCTTTACCACCACTCTTTTATGCTTTTTTGCGGCTTGGTATAATTTTTGACACTGTTCCTCTTGCCACCTGAAATAATTTTGCTGTCTTCATTGGGGCATTTGCAATTTGGGCTGCTTTGGAACTTGATTCGTATCATCATCTTGCTTTGAAGACTTGCCTAGTAAAATGCTGCTGATTAGACCTTTCTATGCAGACACATTCTGCAAATTAGCATTCATTTTAATGGGAATTGGCTGTATTTTGGAGATCTGAAGTTAAAGCCATTTTAGGAAAGAATCCAAAGTCCGTACTAAGTTTTATTCCGAGAAATTAACTAATTTGTTAGGTTTGCAAGATGGGAATCTATTATTGATTTAATTTCATTTAACTTGAAAACAGAGGGGGCTTTAAATAGTTGGCAAATGCATCTTTTATTAGGGCAACCCCGTAAACTTTATCTGAACTCTTTATTAGTAGTTATTTCAAATGCCTGGACTAAAGTGTGACAGGAATCATGAATGTGTCTTCATAAAATGAGTATCTGTTCCCCTCTCAAATTTTTAGAGCAGAAAAGGGAAAGAAAATCGAGCCTGAATTGGTTTATTGGCTGCCTGTCTCAGTGCTGGCAGTATTTCACCTTCGCTGTGTGACAGAGCAATTAGTCTTCTGCGCGATCTGTTGAGATTGGTGAACTGAGCTGATCATGATTTGTTAGTTTCCACGCATGCTGAGCCAGTCACTCTCCAGGGCCCAGTTAATGTGCATAGCTTCCTGGCCTGTGTGCTGGCATTAGAGGTTTTGCATTGAAGGGGCAGCCTGTAGCCTTGAGGTAACGGTGTCCGACTGGAACTCTGACGGTTTTTGGTTCAAAACCCACTGCTGCCATAACCAAATCAGTTCAGTTGTTGGGCGAGGCCCTTGGCTTCACATTGTTATAGGGGAAGATGCTGCTGTAAGTCACTTTGGTTATGAATTGTCTGATGAATAATGGTACTGGTGAAAGGTGGCCAGCTCAAATGTCCAGGGGCCTGTTCGAGATGCCGGGTTCTAGCGAAAGCCCGAGAGTTCTTGCCTCCTGATGGATTACACTATATTTGGTCTAGTGTAGACGAGCGAAAATGTCTGCAAGCAGTCTCCCCTTGCTTTTCAAGATGGCGTCCAGCGTTCTCAACATCAGTTCCCACACTTTCACGCAGCTCCTACACTAGAATTTGACGCAAAACCATGTTGGTAGCCAAGTTGTAGAAACGTGCAAGAACTTTCACCTGCACAGAACTCGGGTGTCTTTCTTTTGTGAGACCGAGACCTAGCAAGAGACCCTTTGGTCATGAACACGCCCTTTATCTCCTGATGGACATTTGGGGAGTGTGTTTGTCAATGTGTCTGCATTAGTCAGCACATTTTCTCATCCATTTGAGTATTTGTGAGTGACAGATCCCTAATGGGTTCAAATCCAGATAAACGGTAATTTCAGAAACTATCCTGAGTAAATCCTGACAAAAATTTACCTTTTGAAACTGTTCATATCAATTTTACAGTAGCTTAAAAATGCACAAAAACAAAATACAAGGAATTCATGCAGATGATCTTTATTCAAACCCCCTAAAAATAGGCTCTCTTTTTCATTTGACTTATTGGACTTAAAAAATATGAAAATTTAAGGCCATTCTCAGACCATGATCTAAGGAGCCCTGGTTAGCCCTGGTGATTCTACATGAAATGGCTCTTCAATTTTTGCTGCTAAAAATTATTGCTGCTGCGTTGGTTGGTGGGATATTTGGCTCAAATAATTGTTTATAATTAGTTGTAGTTTTGGTAATATCACCCAGCGCTATCACAATCTGATGCCGCCGCACAGCTTCTCTGTATAACTTGTCATGTTGAATCCAACTGTGCCGAATCCAACTGTCCCGTTTCAAAACTGTTTTTAAATCTGTCATTCATGACACAGTGACCCCAATTTATAAAAGCTCTCGGAGGACAGCCCTTACCTGGGTTCAGTTTAGGCTTTTTTTTTTTAGCCTGCTTGGCCGAATGGCCTAAAGGGCTTATGCTGTACTCTGAGTCCGTAGTGGTGGTCTGGCGTAGGTCCGTGCGTCCGCCCGTCTGTCCGTCAAGATTTCTCTTATGAACGCGCTAGCGTCTTCAATTTTTGATGGATCAATTTCATATCGCGTATGTGCGTGCATGGGCCCAAGATCTCGGCCGAGTTCGATTTTGGGCGCGTTGCGATTGCTACTTTCACCACTGGGGGGATTTTTGTGTAAAAACTCAAAATGGCTGTAGGTCGCTAATGCATCAAGCTATGATGCCCAAATTTGAATCGTAGGTGCATCTAATCATGATATATCATATATCAGATGGGTTTTTCAAGTTTTTATCACCCATAATTTTCTTGTTGCACACAAAGACAGAAGAAAACCTCTTTCATTTCAGGACTTCCACAGCACTTCCTGCAACAGCTCTACACTTAGCAGCTCTACACTTGGCCACAACCCTGCCACCACTTCTTCCTCTATTCACACGGTTTCCTGTAAAGTCCATCAACTCAATGAAAGGACACCTACATTCCAACATAAGCCAAGACGGCACAGTGCCATTGGCATTTTTTTTGTGCTTGTTGTGGATGACAGTGGGGAGGGGAAGCTGATCTGTGATTAGTCCTGCTTTTGAAAAGCATTTATGAATATGAGCTGCAATGTGTAATGTGCTGCTGCCTTGATTCCTGTTTACACACCTGCCTCATGCCAGTGCTCTGTTCTCCTGTCGATAACTGATTGTCTTTGTAACTTGGCGCTGTACGTGGGGTCCCATTGTGGACCAGATTTCCACCTCAGTGGGGGTTTTCCGGGCTCAGTGAAGGAGAAACAAGATGACAGGCGATTCGAGAGCAATGTTGCACCCTTCAGCTAGTGTCAGTATAACCCTGGTTCACCTGAGTCTTTGTGATGTGAAGTCCAGGTCCTCTGGAGTTGATTAGTATTCTAGATTTCTGTCCCATTCTGCTGATAATTTGAAGTTGTTGGGAATGTGTTTCAAGTTCTGCTGAAATTATCTGGAGAAACTTATAATCACATTGCAACAGACTAATGGGAGGTGTATTATTCAGGGAATACAAAGCCGTTTTCAACATAAGAGGTTAAACCCTACTGTAATTGGCTGAAATGCTTAATTTAGCGATTAACTCATAAACAGTATGAATCTTTTTATTGTGGTTGGGACAAAAATTCCAAAAAATCAGCTTCCACAGTGGGGTTGAGAAACATGAGATTACCAGTAGTTTTTTGGCTGGTGCGTTTATGCGCATAAACTGTTTGCTGGAATAAGCTGGGCCCAAACGGCCTATCCCCCAAGAGTACTATGGGGTTAAAGGCCTTGCTCGAGGGCCTGAAGGCTGTACTGATAGCATTATGGGTACACTGGGCCATGGACCTCCGATCTTATGTGTCCCAGTGAAATATTTTAACCACTGGGCCATAGGCTTCCACTGAATGCAATATCACACTCAGCATGGCTGCTGATCTGTCACACGCTCAGAATCGCTGGTCCTGAAAGGGCGTGCTCATCTCCCCGATGGCGGTGTCAGGGACACGTGCTTCCACACTTAGCCTGGCAGTGGGGAGGGGAAGCTGATCTGTGATCAGTCCTGCTTTTGAAAAGCATTTATGAATATGAGCTGCAATGTGTAATATGCTGCTGCCTTGATTCCTGTTTACACACCTGCCTCATGCCAGTGCTCTGTTCTCCTGAAAGGGCGTGCTCATCTCCCCGATGGCGGTGTCAGGGACACGTGCTTCCACACTTAGCCTGGCAGAATCGGACACATCGGAAGAGATTGAGGAACTGCTCTGATAAACTCCATTGTTCTGTGGGAGCTCCTCAGAACCCCCCCCCGTGTTTATGTGGCATGGAGTGGCTCTCAAAGTGGGGTGGTGGGGGGGGGGGGGCGGGCGGGTGATAAGTGCCAGGTGCTAAATGCATTTCCTAATATTTAATTTGTGGAAAAGTATAAACTATGGGGAGGGAGTAGCACAACATAGCAGTAGTTAGCACTGTTGCCTCTCAGCAAAATGGTCGTGGGTTTGAATCCAGCCTGAGGCCTTTATGTGTAGAGTTTGCATGTTCTCCTAGTGTTTGCATGGGTTTCCTCCGTGTACCCTGGTTTCCTCTCGCAGTCCAAAGACATGCATGTCAGGTCAATTGGAGACTGTAAGTTGCCTATAGGTATGATTTAATGGTGTGTGTGATGGGTGTTTTTGCCCTGCGATGGATTGGTGAGCTGTCCAGGGTTCGTTCCTGCCTTTCACCCATAATCAGCAGGGATAAGCTCCAGTTCCTCTGCGACCCTAGTGAGGAAGAAGTGCGGTTCAATTATGGATGGGTGGGAAAAAAAGTACGGGGGAGAAAATATGCTCTTTTGAAAGCATTGAAATGCCCCTGTGCCCAGACTGGAATCAGTTGAGGCCAGGTCAGCCGCAGAAAACCCAGGTTCTGAAGGTAAAATTTCTCCTGGGTTTTTGCTCTAGTCGCCTGGATAAACGGCCCAATTCCCATCCTTAGAAGGTGGAAGTAAGTGCTGAGATCAGCTAATGCAGTTAGCAGGTGTCAGAAACACATGGCTGGGCTTATTAAACTCACTGAACCTTGTACTCACCTTCGGTTCAGATCTTTTTTTGGACAGAAAGCTGCAGTAATACCTTAGACCTACCTGAGCCCTCATAAATCCATCAGCTGCTCTGTTTCCGGGTCTCTGGGGTGGAATTCCGCTCAGCAAGATTGCTGTGTAAAATTGGTTATTGTGCTAAGTAAAACCCAGAGCAATGGTTTCTACTTCAGTCCGTGCTCCTGGTTCAGGAGGACAGACTGTGCAGTTATCCAGCTGAATCTGTAATCTGAGATGCACCGATTCTGATACTGATATCCGATATATCGGTCCGATACTCGCTCATATAGCTGAATCGGGTATTGGTGTCAATGGGCCAATCTGGTATTGGATACCTTGTTTCAATTAATAACAATCAAGTACATTTATACTTATGTCTTTGTTATGTTTTGTTTTACAGTGTTTGGAGTCAAACCTGATGTTGTCTTACACATAAAGGAATGATCCAAGTCTCTTTCACACAGTGAGGCATGCAGCTTATTAACCAAACACTGGTTTTGGATTGGTATTCGGTATTGGCCAATACTTAAAGCTCAGGTATCAGTATCGATATCGGGACCGAAAAAGTCAGAATGGTGCATTCCTATTGGTAATGCCTGTTGACGGACCTGGGCCCAGTTACTTGGTGTATGGGAGCGTGTTGGTGGTTGTGTGTGTATTGGGAAATGGCCTGTGCTAACATAATTCTCTGTGTGTTTGCAGGCCCAGGGAACATGTCACAGTCCGGGGAGAAAGGGAAGGTGAGTAAACCCAGAGAATCGGCTGCAGTGCAGATCCTTTGTGGGGTTTAAGCTCTCAAATCCGACCCCCCAAACTGCGCTTCCTTCACCAACCCCTCCAGAGAGTTTGCATTGTTCATTTCTGTGCCATTTTTCTTGGACTGAAGAGGTTTAGCAGCATGCATATTAATGTCTGACCCAAGGTAATGAGATTGATCAGGAAAATGATGAGACATTAATATCACTATGCTCAAGTGGGAGAACTGGAGGTTTAGATTTTTTTTTCAATAAGTGAAAGAATCTGCTTGATTTTACTTAAAAATCTGTTCGTTGAAGGGCAGCGCAGCAGGATGCTTAGTGTTAAAATCTGGCCTGGGCCTCGGAAGAGGCTAATTAGATAATGCTTGATCATGGATGAATGAATATTTGAAACACTGCTATTGACCAGGGGTGCGTTTCCCAAAATCACAGATGCTAACTTGCATAGTTGGACCTTTTGACTG